TCTCGGACTCAAACTCAGGCATTTGAAAGACAATGTTCCCAGAGTCTGTTTGCCATTGCGAATGTTCAGGAGAGGCACCGAAGAAAACAGCACCGAGAGATGGGACCGTTGCACCTGTCTCATACGCCAGCGGATGCGTGACATCTTTTGGGTCGGGGTGATTTACCTCGCTAGCGAATTGCTCATATGGGGTCTCTACATGGGCCTATTCAAGGCCCGACTTGAGTTCCTGGCATCCATCATTGGTATGGTGGTGGTTTTTTGTTTCATGGTCGCCATTTCATATTATTGTCCGGGGTCAGAGGGCTTCTATCACCGCCACATCAAGTACAAGGTTTGTCCTTCACCTTTGTCTTCACTTCACTACTGTTCGCAAACACTGACCTAGCCAGGTCGACTTTATCAATAGCAACTTGGGCATTGGCTTTCCGGTGCCCATCATTACCATAAGTGAGCAGGATTTGCTTGGCGGTAAGGGGATTGGAAGAGTGATTGGCAACTTTTGTGAGTTCGCCCGAATACCGAACAAGCTTGAACACGTCAAAGCTAACGAGCAAAGTAATCACGAACGTCATCTTTTGGATATTGATATTTCTGCTTTCTTGGGGCATCCTGGCCGGAATCCTCAGAATTTCGACCCTTTCCCTACACCAATCTGAAAAGAACAGTGAAGCCGACGTCGACACCGAAGTCGCCCAGTCATGGCACTCCAGTGGGAAAAACACCCCCGTCCCACGCATCCAGATGCCCCCTGCGACCCTCAGCCGCAGGCCATCCGAGTCGACGACCCTGAACGGAACCACGATCAACGGATGCCATACCAATAAGGAAGCGGGACTGGGTCTAGACTCGAGAACCGTCTCGGCCTACTTCACCGACAGCGACTGCCCGACCCCTATTCTACCTCCGAGCCCACTAGACCACTACCACGATCGAGCATCGCTTTCAAGCTCGCAGCAACCCCAAGTCTCGAGCGGAGAGGGAACGCAAAGATACAGCTGGGCCATAGAGTGCTACCCCATTATCCTGTCGATCTTGCTCCTCCTCATCGTAGGCATCCCTGTCTCGTACACCTTGGGCGATGACCGCATCCTCGATGGCTGCATGCTGTGGTTTACTTGGATCAGCAGCAGCAGGCTCCAACGCAATTTTGGTCGCAGCGACATCCTCGCCAGCGCACAGGGGTTCAAGACGACGTTCACGACACTCCTCAACCCCGTCCTCCTGACGATTCTTGGCATGACAGCCTACACGCGCGCCAAAGCCGCCGCCACGGACACGGCCATCAGCGAGACATTAGCCAAGTTTGCTTGCGGTAATACACTCTCATATATCTGGAGCTCAAAGGTATTGGAAGATTGGTATGGCAAGATTGAGTGGTTTGGCGCCGGTGACGCAGCGATCTCGATCCTCGAGGTCGGCATCGTCGTCTGGGGGTTCAAACTCTACGACTGTCGGCAGCAAATCTGGTCTCGCGCCGGCGCAGCCGTGGTCATTCTCTCGGCTGGCTTCGCGGCACTCAACGTGTTTTTGTCCGTCCTGCTCGGTCGGGCAGTTGGCCTCGGGCCGCCCGAGTCGCTCGCCTTCGCGGCGCGCAGCACAACGCTGGCGCTGGCACGACCTGCAACAGGGTCAATCGGCGGGAATTATGTCGTCAACGCGGCACTGGTGGTAAGCAACGGCATATTAGGACAGCTGATGTACCCGTTCCTCCTAAGGAAGCTAGGGGTCGACGCCACTGAAGAGTCAGACATGGACGTGAACGAAGAAGAAGAAGAAGAAGAGAAGAGGCCGAGAGACGGTGCGCTGACAATCGGGGTAGGGATGGCGATTGGTATCAACGGCGCAGCCATGGGCGTCGCGTATCTCTATGAGAGGAGGATCCGGGCTGCGCCTTATGCGGCCCTCTCGATGACCGTGTTTGGGGTTTTTACTGTCGTCTTCACCGCGATCCGCCCGTTTGGGGATACCTTGAGGGCACTTGCTGGCATACATACCATCGGTCCTACCGTATGAATAAGTAGGTACCTCGAAGTAAGGTAGTTTGGCGCGAGAGATCGATGACTCGGCACATAGAAGACGGCGTTCTGCTTCAAGGGGCGCAGCATAGCATAGCATGATTGATCCACAGAACAAAGGTGGGGGAGCAAATTGTACTTTTCAGCTCGTGGGCTCTCTTCAGAAGCGCATTTGGTATTTTTGATATACAGTCATGCCTGTGGCAAGCGCGTGAAAAACAAATTGCAGAAAATGTCATTAACGTCTGTGGCTCTGGCTCACCTGAGCCGCATCTCTCATGTCCACCGGCACCCACCGGGCACCGGTAAAGCTTTTCTGTGAACCCCCCCCTGCCTGCTTACACGCGCATGATGCTGTTCGTCTCTCCTCTATCCGATCTACTCCAGTCTGTAATCCGGTGGTTAGTGGAAGTGTGCGTGGGATAGTGTTAATCAAGAAGGCTTGGTTAAAGCTCACCTCTCAATCAAATGCAGACCACTCTGCGTCTCCACGACGCCGCTGATCTCACCAGGTTTCAGGGCAAAGGCAGCTTCTTCAAACTCCTTTTGCATGTCACCCTTGCCGAAGTAGCCAAGGTCACCCATCTTACGGGCACTGCTGCAGTCGGACTCGGTCTGGGCCAGCTCGCCGAGCCCGATGGAACCTGAGTTGATCTTTCCCTCGTGAGCCTTGATGATGTCAAGCGCCTCCTCCTTGGTGCGAGTGATTTCGGCCTATTTTGATATTCTCGTTAGCTGCCTGTACTCTGGGAGTGGTTGTCGGTTTTCAAGGTTGCGTACCTCTCTCCAGCTGGAAGGGCGCCGACTGTTCTGGTGCTTGACCAGCAGGTGAGCTGCGCGGATCTTTCCCTCTGGCACGGGGACAGCCTGGGATCTTGCGCCGGCACCAGCGCTGTGATGGCTGGCCATGTAATGCTTCAGCTTCTCGGTGTCGGTTCCCGCAGGCGGCTCCCAGCGTGAGACCTTGTCGGCGGCATTGAAGTAGTAAGGTAGGTTCTTGGAGTTGGAGTGTCGCACTTCCCAGCCGGGGGGGAGACCGGTGTCAGACTAGATGAGGTAGATGTTAGTCGTCTGCGAAGAACGGTATTGTCTTGGTAGGTAAGCCTCAGGCTCCGCGAGGAACGCAGACAAAGGTCAACAGCAGTACGCGACGGCCCGGAGGCGAAGCTGCGCGATGGGAGGAGAACATGGGCACAAAGGGAGCGAGCGGGGTTAGGTGTCGAGTGGTGCAGAGATGGAAAAGGCTTTGCTATGGATACGAGGTGCATCACTGCTTACTCACCATTGTTGCGCGGGATGAAGTCTAAAGGAGAGAAGAGAAGAAGCTGTTGAGATAGCTGCAGGGAACGGAAATTCGGAGACGGAGGAGTTGCTGGAAGAAACGAAGCTGTCGTCAAGTACTGAAGTGTAAGAAACGTGGAGTTGGCAGAATAAGGAAGAGGAAGAACGGCACGGCGATAGATGTGAAGAGGGTGGGCGTCGAGGTACAAATGTACTCGGAAAGGTATACGGTAGCCGGAGGGCAGAATGCTAAGGTAAGGCCTGTAAAAAAAGGTAGTCAAGGTAGGTAGGCACGGTAGGTAAGGTGCAGCTGGGGAAGAGCTGGGGTTGGTGATGCAGCCAACGCAACTGGAGGTTCTTCAGCTTGGCTCGAATGGATTGGATGAGAGAAGATGACGTGTGGCTGCTGGGGTAACCACCAAACGAGGCCTTGCTTCCTACGAATGGGGGGCCAAGGGGAGGGGGACAGAAAAGTGCAAAAGCCAAGGTACCGGGCACACTGGTGAATTACCTAAGCCATCAAACACTCGGAAAGGATGATGGATGCCCGCTGCTCACGAGCGTTAGTGGGGAGTGGGGGGAGGGCTACGGGGGACCTGGTGACCTCTGACAGGGGACCGGTCTCCTCAAAGAGACTCGTGGACGGGAGCCATCAAAACGTGTGTCCCTGAAAGGCGGGGGAAAAGGGCGCTGGCAAGAGGGGTTGATCATTCCCCCCAGCGCCTCGAAACTTGTGCCCTCATTGGCCAACTTCAGTTCAAGTTCCTCTCGAGTCACGTGTAGCCAGGGTCCCGTGTTCGTCTTGGTAAGCTTACAAAGTTTCACCCGCCAGACCTTGGACTTGGAGCTGCGTCACACGATTCTATTCGATGCAGGGTTTCCCGTCTCAGACCTGTCGATCCTTCTTATCACAGTCTGTCAGGCTTTTCTCGACGAAAAGGGGAGAGAAGAAGGACAATTCGGCTGTAAGAAACCTAAGAAAACCTAAGGCTAAGGTAAGTAGGTGACTGTCGGGTGTGGCTCGCCAATCATCACCAAGTGCACTTGAAAGATTCTACCCGGGTTTCCAAGGTTTCTAATCGTACATGTATACGGATGCTACGCGTGAAGAGTTTTATAAGCAACTCAACTTCTACATCTGTGCCAAGTTGCTCTAGTAAAAGCCAACTCTGCTTCACTCGCCACGATTCGTGCTGTCAGTAGTCTCATAATTTCCGTACTCTTGATAGGCTTTCAATTTCCAATACTTGACTTGGGTACCCAAGGTGCGTAGCCTCAGGGCAGGAACCTCATATCAAAATGGCCAGTGGAGGGCGCACATACATCCAAGCCCATGAATTATGAAGGGTTGACAAGATAGTAAAAGTCAAAAGTCATCACCTCAGATCGTGTAATATGTGCGAGAAACGCAATGAAATACGGGAAGGCTAATTTTTGGGCCATTTTGGTTTTCATCCTTCAGGTTTATTCATGTGCGAAGCCCAGCCACTGTATACCTTATCCCAGAAGGAAAAGAACATTTAACACAACTTTTTCAAATTGATCATCTGAATCACAAGAAGTAACGGCCTCACTAGTATTACAATCAGGTTGCCATCTGGTTGACTTGAACAAGAGTGACTCACCGAGAGACAGTTCGGTGAGCTGATGACTTACAGAGGTGGAAATTCCATTCCGCCCTGATTCACCGACACGGCCCCACCTTTTGCCTCCCGCACTGCAAAAAGGAACGTGCGCGACCGCCTTTCTCCTTTGCGGTCCTATCCTTTCGATTATTTGCGCGCCGCACTTCGCTTTTCCACCTTCTGCCTGAACCTCAACATTACACATCACTTGCCCGACTTTCAATAACGCGCTCAACAGCCCAATTTTTGGTCTATAGACTTACGCGACGACACTGCGAAACTCCTGCGCCCACTTCGATCAATCAAGCCTTTTCCCGAAAAACAAGAAACGCTTCGCGACCGACATCACGATGGCCACCCCCATGAGCACAAACTCCCAGGAGGACGCCACGAACAAGAAGCTTGAGCAGATTACCTTTCGCTTTTGCTCCGAATGCTCCAACATGCTCTATCCTAAGGAGGACGAAGAGACCCATCGCCTCCAGTTCACCTGCCGAACCTGCCAGTTTACCGAGGAGGCTCAGTCTACCTGCGTCTTCCGCAACGTCATGAACAACGCCGCCGGTGAGACCGCCGGTGTCACACAGGATGTCGGTTCGGATCCTACTGTAGGTGATCCCCAGTCTGTTCTTGCCCCTGTTGTATGCATCGGCTGCGGCCACGCCATCCTTTGCAGCGGCTGCGGTAACCCGTCCGACGACTTCAACGTATCGGCGGCCCCTGCCCACCAGCACGACGGTTTCCAGAGCAAGAAGACGGAGATTACATGGGACGACCTGATGGACATGGCCGAAGACGAAGCCCAAGACGAGTACGACGAAGAAAAGGAATCGGTCACCTCGGACGAGATCAACCACGGATTCGCGGGCATCGCGCTCAACAACGAGCCCGAAGCCGCCAACCGGAATGTGTCGTGGCCTACCTTTCAGCTGGCAGTCAGCCAGTGAGAGTGATCCTCGCCACGTGTTACCACAACGACCTATTGGATGACAACCCCTGGACCTGGCTTTGGCAATGGGATTTTGGCTTTCACTCTGGATACGAGACCTCCCTTGTGATCAGCTGGCTGACGCTGCATCTTTCCCGGATCTAGCTTCCACGATCAAACAAGGAATGCCCCGTGTGCAAGGGCGGCGAAGCCGTCTTCTTCCAGTCTCAGCAGCGAAGCGCTGAGACGGGCATGGTTAGTACAGAACTCGCATCTTTCTCTCTTTAAGCAAACTCGCCAGGAGAATCGGCAAACTAACGCGCTCGCGTGCAGAAACTGTTCTATGTCTGCTGCGATTGCGGTCACATCTTCCAGTAAAAGAGACGACCTGATGAAGATACCCCAAGATTGTTCTAGAGGAGGTTGCCATGCATTGTAAGGAGTATTCTGGCGTTTTGAGCTTTCGATTGGGAAAGAAGAAAAAGGCCATGGGGCCACGGTTTTTGTCTTTAGCCATCATATACACCATTGAAATACATCTCCTTCGAAGGGGATTAGATATTCTTTACCATTACTCTTTGTTCTTGATTGATAGTGACCTTTTTGACTTGTGACTCAACTCGACTCGACTCGGCTTTCTGGATGTTTTTGTATTTGTTGGAGGTTGGTAATCGACTGCTTACCCTGGAAACGCCGGCTCATGCATTCGTATAATACACTTCCCCCCTCCCAAGCTGATGACTTTTTCTCCTTTACTTGTACAGAGATCCTACACATCTTCTCACATTGTCCTCCTTCGCGCCCGCATCCCCATGCCCATTGACCATCCCTTTATGCGTGCATGGGCGCCATGGACAAGATCTTGCTCCACTTCTTCCTTCTCAGCTCAGCGCCAACGACGCCGTTGATGCGGGAGCCCACGGGGTCGCCGGCCTTGTTGATGAGAACGCAGGCATTGTCGTCGAAGCGAATGACGCTGCCGTCGGGGCGGAGGGTCTTTTGCTTGGTGCGGACAACGACGGCGTGGCGCATGTCACCGCGCTTGACCTTGTTGGCGGCAGATGAACCGGCCATGCCACCCTCGCTGGCACCTCTGTGTTTCTGGACAACGACGACGATTCTGTCACCTATTATAGAGTAGAGTCTGTTAGTCTCGGGATCGGGTCGCGTGAGGAGGTTCGTTGTGTGGGCGACGAGATCGTACCGATGCGGGCGAGCTTCTTCTGGCCGACAACCATGGCGCATTCGACCATGGCAGCGCCTGAATTGTCGATGCATTGCAGCACCGTCTGATTGCACATTAGCTTGCTGCTTGTTGGGACTGATGGTAAAAAAGATGGCAAACCTTTAATTGAATCATTTTGGCGGCGTGACCTCGTGGTGGGCTGTATTTTACCGTATCTCCCCTGGCTGGTCACTGTCGCTCTGAAGCTATCTCGAAAAGGTAGGACTGCAAAGTTGAATTCCACGTCGGGATAACGGACGGACGTAGATCCGACAATCCGAGCTAGATCGTTTTCTGGCCAAGGACCCACTTCGAAGGTTGCATGTTGTCCCGTTGCTGCGGACAGGGCCTTTGACACCCAAAAGAGGTTAGCCGCGTTGAGTACGGCGAATATCATTGGCTGAGGTAGCCGGTCAAAACTTGGTCTGTGCGACTATTTTGACGTCTCACCTGGGGCCACTTCAACGATAATTGCCTAGCCACTGACTTTTGCAACTTGTGATTGGCCACCAACGTCCCCGGCAAGGCGCAATCCAATGTTTCCCTTTCTTGCTTCCCTCCCTCTTTCCCGTCCTGCGTCTCGACTCTTTGCTGGTCTACTTCGTACTCCGTACTCCCCTAGAAAGCTGGAAACGAAGGAAGGAAGGAATCTGGAATCTGTTCCATTGGTACTTGCTGTCAATAACCTAAGGTACCTTACCTTGAGTCGGACCCGAACGAATTCGAGACTGAGTTTGTGCAAGAGACTACCCGTAAGAAGGAAAGGAACCACCTGAAGCAACCAACTTGTACCTGGCAAGAGCGAATTACCTAGGTACTTTAATCTGGGACAGACGGCGACTTCTCTCTTTGGTTTCCCGCTCATCTCGAGTTCCCGTCTTTTGACGTCCAGCCTCACACACACACACCTAACTTCACCTTACCACCTCCCACCTCAACCTAACCTCATCCACTTTTTTTTGTCTCATTTCCCTCCTATCCCCCTCCTCATTCTCATCTCTTTCATCCTCTCCATCGTCCGTTATCCGTCATCTTTGTTCCCACAGAGCCTCCCTTTCGCTACTGTGGATGAAGCTATTTTGATTCCCACATTCACTCCTTGAGCTTTCATCCCAGCGCAGCAACAATAACAAGGAGAAAGAAGAGGGTCCAGAACCTGTGTTTGTCCTTCTCTCATATTGTACCTTACCGAGTATGATCCACGACGGCCCTGCGCATTAATCTCCACCACCCCTCTACCCTGACCGGCCTGTCCTCGTTGGCTTGTTTATGCCCCCTTTGGACTTTGGACCGGAAGACATGACGACACCCAACCTGAGCTGACCCTTCCCTCATCTTCTTGCGCCTTTTTGGAGACAACAGCCTTCTTCCCGGTCTCACCCACATCTTGTCTCTGGTCATATCCTTAGCGGCCAACTTGCGACAATCGTGGCCCAGCTGTCACTCCCCCACATCTAGGTCATTTGCTGCGCTTGACCTTGCCTTGGGCTATCGAAGGGAGCCCGAACTCGCATTTGGTTCTCCGTCCACTCCTTGCTCTGTGCGCTGGACGCTGGTCCCCTCGACGCTCGTTTAGCCTTGGCCGACGCCCCCTCGGGTTCGCTCCTTCCAACTTGCGCCGACGACGACAATTGCGACGCCGTCAATCCACCAGTCACCTTTCTCACGATGCCGCCCTCTGCTGCTGCGGCAAAGAAGCAGAAGAACAAGCAGACGCTAACATTGGCACAATTGGCATCTTATGACGACTTCCTAACTGATGCTCTAGTCGATCATGTATGCGTCCCAGTCCGGCCGGGCAGTCATGCCTCGGGCGCCTTGAAGGGGGCTGAAAAAGCTGACATTTTTGCAGGTTTTCTACTGGACTACAATTCCCAAGAACAGAAATTCCTATCACCCCTCACGAGGCGTACGGGAGGAGGATATCACCCAGATCATCCGGGACCAGCTCGCTGTCAACAAAGACCTCGAATCCGCCGAGCGCAATTTGCTAGCCACCGATGGCTTCCGCAAGTTCTTCGCCGCCCTGAAGACGGACAAAGCCAAGGATGACTTCAAGCGACATATGCGCCGCTACATCCAGATTTACCTCCCCGATTGCCCCTTCGAGGTGAACTCGACCAACCGCTACACAATTGTGTCGCACGAAGCCGCCATCACTGCCCGACGCTTCATACGGCGGAACGAGACGATCAAGTACTTGGCCGGAACCCAGGTTAACATTTCACCAGAGGAGGAGCGAGAAATGACGGCACGGAAGAAGGACTTCAGCATCATTATTTCGGCCAGAAACAAATGCGCCAGCCTATTCATGGGCCCTGCTCGTTTTGCAAACCACGACTGCGGAGCCAATGCGAAGCTCATGACTACGTCTTCGGCTACCATTGAGATCATTGCGACGAGGAACATTGATGTCGGCGAAGAGATTACGGTGACATATGCCGAGAACTACTTCGGGGAGGACAACTGCGAATGTCTATGCAGGACATGCGAAGACAGATGTGCGAATGGTTGGGCCCCAGCGGAAGGAGAAGTTGTGGTCAAGAAGAGCATTGAGGAGTCCGCTTTGGACGGATATTCTTTACGCCGGAGGAGAAGGGACGATAGCGCCGGCCCTTCATCTCGAACCCCTTCCGTCACACCAGACATCCGGCCACGGGTGTCCAAATCACGGCTCAGGAGCGGAAAACCTGGCCGAGACTCTCTAGCAGTCGGCTCGCCAATGTCGGATGCTCTTTCGCCGGAAAAGAAGCAGTCTTTCGATTCACTCGTTACACCGCCCATAACGCCATCCAAAAGACGGAAGATCTCGGCCAAGCAAGCGGCCTCAGCCCGCCAGGAAGCTATCGTTATGTCAACAGAGAGCTCGGCCTCTGAGTCTGTGCGCAGTATGTCATTGGCCAGTAGCGGAAACGAAGATGGTTCGGTGACAGACATCACTGAGCCGGAGAAAGACTCACCAGAACCGATCCAAGCTATGAAGAAGTCAGAGCTTGTCAAGAAAGAGGAGTATGAGGAGACCACGGAGCAAGCGCTGGCCAACGCGGCGCCTTTCTCGTCGCAAAGGAAGTCCCAAAAAGAGATGTTACACTCAAGTCGGGCTGCATCTGTTGTTGTCTCCCGATCTATTCCCATCTCGTCCTTGTGCAATCCACCGTCACCACCGTCCAAAACCTCGGGACAAAACCCTCCAGTATGGTTATATCCTGCGAACATCCCTCCGTACAAGATACAGGATCGTATGAGTATCGCGGCTGCCATGTGCAGCAGTGTCAGCACGAAGCCAACGGCAATTTCTTCAACAGGAGTACTGAAAAGCTCCAGCACAAGCAGTCTGAAGCTGACACAAAACGTTGATGAAAGAGTCTCAACAAAAGAGCCGCTCGGAAGTTCTCGTCGCGAGACCGTGGTGCAAACGTCAAAGGTTGAGGCTCTGGCGTCCATCGAGCCAGACGGGTTGGGTAACCGCAGTTCCGACACCGTGCTGGTTGCAGAGGTCGAAGCACCGGTATCGACAGAAAATCCTACGCCGATCACTGACAGTATCAAAGTCTGTGCAAAGGTCGCTGAGACGGTGGAGGGTGTTGGTGACCAGCCACCTCTGAAGAAGCGCAAGTACCAACGGCGCACCTTTATCAAGGAGACGACACCACCCGCAAAGACCCGAACGCCCGGCGATTATACTCTAACGCCGCTGTTGCTATCAGAACCGCAGACGGCATGGGTTCGTTGCATGAATTGCGAGACGGCATTTGTGCAGCAAAATGCGTACTACACGAAGCGTTCGTGCCCGCGCTGCGAGCGCCACTCCAAGCTATACGGTTACATTTGGCCGAAGACTGAGAGGGCCGGACCTCAAGATAAGGAGGAGCGCATCTTGGACCACCGCCTTATCCACCGGTTCCTGGGGCGCGACGAAGAGGCGCGTATCCGGGGACGAAAGCGACCCGCAACGAGCACGTCGGAGACACTCGAGGAGTACGCGGGGAGCAGGTTTGGAAACAAGCGCTTCAGAGCCGCGGGTGAAGACTCCGGGGAAGGCGAAGATACGACCGGGTTAAGACGGAGTGGTCGAATGCGCAAGGCTAGCACCAAGGTGGCAGAGCCGTAGGAGAGGTGAGGCACGAAGCAGCCAACCGGAGCGGTCCGGGACCCAGCCGGAGATAAACTCTCCCCAGTCCGGGGCTCCAAAGGCTCCCACCATGGCTTTTCCTAGAACGCAGAAACGAACGACGGGGATTTATAATTGGAACATGGGGAAACATGAGGTGGAAAAGGCGTATGTCTCATGTTTCACTGCGACAGCACACTTCTGGCTTGGGATTTTTGGTTTGGTCTTTTTTTTTTCTTGCCAGGTTTTATTTTCCTGCTATGCATGCATAATCGCATGCGCGCATGTGCGGTACATAGATACCATAGCTCCTCGCCTTGCATACTGCTGTCCGTCTGCAGGGTGGTAGAGGACGCACAGGGGAAATTTTTTTTTTCTCACTCTCCCCCCCTTGGATTTTGGCGTGGTGTTGAGAGACAACATTCCAGCCGTCTGTCTTGGCTGGTAAGCTACTTTAGATAAGGAGGAAATGGATGCACACATATACACACACACACACACACACACACACACAAACAGACACACAGAGTTATACACAAGGGACCCAAGGGAATGTCCATTGGGCCAGAGAGGCGAAAGAAAGAATTGATGAGAGAGAGGGCAATCTGCTTCTTCAAGACGAGGACATATTTCTCTACGTGCCGCCGCTTTCCTGCTTCTCAACTTTCCTTGTTCTTCTTTACCGTGTAAGGTAAGGTAAGGTATTATTTGTTTAGTCCCCCTTGCCTTTCCCCCCAACCGTCGTCGGATTCGGACATTCAGCTTATCAAGCAGCCAGCCTCAGCGTACCTTATGCGAGTTTGCTTACTTGCGTTGCTGCACATCTTTTTGCTGATGGTTTCGGTCGGCGACCGAAAGCGACTTCTCTCACCAAAAGCAAAGACGCGTGGGAATTGACCTTGGGGATTTTGGTGGCATAGACATATTCATACCACCTCACCTTAGGTTGGGCACACCACCACCTTACCTTGTCCACTCATCTCCCTCATCTTTCTTCCATAGATAAACGACGACGAATACCACTTCGACGACCACTACCTTGACCACACATTAATCACACCTCTCAGAGCTCTTCCCACCCCCGCCGCCTTCGAACAATCTGCATAAAAAAACGGTGTCGTCGCGAACGGTGCGTCGCTAGCAACCTGCGCTAAGGCAAGCAAACGCTATCTTAGGGACCTTGGGAGGCTTTGCCTTTTCTTTTCCTTGCTCTTTCTGCCCTGCTTGTCATAAAGCTCGAGCACACCTCACTATCCTTAGCTCGGGTCTTCTCGCTTGCTCGCAGCTCACCACCACTCACCACCCATCACTCACCGACTTATATCTTGGGCCCCTCACCTGTCTGCTATTAAGTTTCCTCTCGGGACCGTTTCCCAAGGAACCGAGAAGGTTCTCCTTTCTTGGATTTACATCTATCTATCTTGGTTACCCCCTCGTCCCATCCAACCCTACTTCGCACCTCATCACGAAGTGTGTGAACAAGGGAAGAGGGGCACATCCGCCGTCCATCATGTCAACGGAGACCTTTACACAAAAGACCATGATGAGTGCCGGCCTCTCGAGGCCGCACAATTACCTCGACTACCAACACCAACACCAACATCACCTTTACAACCCGGCACCAAGGCTCTCCGCCCTCGCGTCTTCGCACCTTTCCGCGCGGGGCCAGACTAAGCAAGCCAAGAGGCGGTCGTTGACAACGGCGCGGCAACAGACACGACAACCACAACCGCAGGCTTTACATCCCCTGACGACGCTGCTGGCCGTGATATTCGATTTCTTCCTAAGGGGCATCTTGGATCTCACGAGGCCGCCGAGGGAGCTCGTCAAGTTTACCGTCATGGGCATCTTTGACACGCTGTGTTGGGCGTATCACGCACTACCAATGCCGCTCGCGCTTGGTCTTCTCTACTATGCGTTCCAGAGCGTCCCGGATGCGCTGCACGGCGTCGAGGAGCTGCGGATGATTTACAGCACGAGGCTGGGCGGCGACGCATTCCCCGGGAGCGCATCCGGCATCGAGGGTCTCTACGGGCTCGGCGAGATGGCTCTGGTGCGATGGGGTGATTTGGGAGTCTGGTCGGTAAGTTGCATCTTTCCATTCATTTTTCCCTAAGGCTTGAATGCTTGATTCGCTTTGGTCATTTTTGGCCTTGGCATCATTATTCAATACTCTGAGAAGGGGATTATACAAAACGTGAAGAGTGTTGAGACTGATGTTTGTGGTTCAGGCGTTTTACTGTCTCGCTTTGATGACGGCGGCGTATGCGGTCATGGTCCTCTTGGAGATGCGCGACTACATCCGCGACACCTGGGCTCTCATTGTGGACGAGGCTCTCGAGGTCCAGGCGTTGCGGGCGGACGAGTGCTAGTCGACGCCTCCGGAATTTCGGAAGGGGGGGGTTAGTCCTCTTTTCGCCTCGCTTTTTTCACGCTTCTCTCCCCCTTTTTGGACCTTTCTGGACCTTTTTGGGAGATCATCCTGCCCTACGGTCGTGGGGTCGGCATTCGGCGTTGGTTGCTAGTTTGTTGTTTCCCTCTTTTTCTTTTCTTTGGGGAGGCGAGAGGTGAGAATGAGAGAGAGAGAGAGAGAGAGAGAGAGAGAGAGAGAGAGAGTCGGTGGTCGGACTTTTTGGAGATCTTCATCCCCCGAATCCTGACCTTCACTCTCATCGGCCATTCTCACTCTCACTCACTCCTCCACTCTCATACTGCCATCTCATTCAGTGGGATCAGCGGGCGTCACAATTTGTACAAAAAGTTTAAACGGCCAAAATGGGTGTACATGCACGGCGCTTTGGGCAAGAGTTTCGCATCTCTTGGCGGCGTGGTATTTCATTCTCCGTATCTTCGGATGACGAAAAATGAGGAGTTTGGTTTGGTTTGGTTTTGGCTTGGGGAGTGAAGAAACGCAAAAGGCGGAGGAGGAACACTGGGACACAGCGAGACTGAACCTAGAGAACACCCGATGCAGAAACTGTCACAGTCGCAGTCACAGTCGCATTCGCGGTCGGCTGGCATCGGCGGACATGATAACGATACAATACTTTAATAATGAACAAGACTGTTGTCTCTCCTTACACTCTCCTCCCATCCATTGAGATGGCCGGAAGGAGGTGTGGACAAGAAACAAATTTCGAGATGAACTTGATGTCAGCTCATCCATCCTTTCCCATCAGTCCAGTCGCTCCTTTGAGTCTTGACCGAATGCAAACCAACCAACCAACGACTCAACTCCGAGTCCCGTCATCATGATTCCAGATCCCCCGACTCGGCAACATAATTCGAGGTGCACTTTTTGCTTGGTTCTCGGAGTACTCGATTCGGCGCAGTTCTCCGCCCTACTGCAGTCAACAGGCCACTCACACGCCCACTCATTGGGCGCCACAACCATTCCCTGCCGTGCTTGCTTGCTCGCTGCATCCTCTTTCTCTCTCGGTGTCTCTTGCGTCTCTTGCGTCTCTTCATCAGTTCATCAGTCTCGCCCTGTGGCCCTGTGGCCCTCTCACATCACATCGAGGCTCGATCCCTCGTCTCCTTGCTGACAGCTTGCTTTTTTTCCGTCCCCCGCATTCTTCGACTAATCAAGAATACCACTCCAACAGCAAACACGGATATGAGGGTGGGCCCTGGTCAGCCTTTGCGGCAGAGACAAAATGGGGGTTACATGTTCGTTTCCTCTCTCCAGAACTCCGGCCGACTGACTTGGTCTCTCTTCGGACCTCCACCCCACGGTCTGGGTTCCGCCCTACCCCCAAGCCACCCACCCCCCCCCCCCCCCCCCCCCCGTTCCAGCCGTCTCGAAACGGAGAACCATCTTTGGAGAATTTAATCGACACCCCAACTTGTCTAGCACACACTTTTCTCGAATCATATCCAATCAGAGCTGCGCGCCGGCACAGACGATCAGGCTGGCTGGCTGGACGCTGTTGGAACTTGGATGCCGCCGATTTCTCCTGTGAATACCACGCGTCGTGCAGGGTAGCTGAGGCAGAAGCGTACCTCTGCAGACCAGAATTGGACCCTTTGTTTCCAGCCCTTCGTTGGTTGAAGAAAGGTTCTAGGCAACCAAGGTAGGTAACTCGGAGAGTTTCCTATTCGGCCGTAAAAGGATCTACGTCTCATCTGCAATTCTTGCCACACGTTCGGAGTTCCTGGGATGACCGTAGGACCGGCCGCGACCGTTGGAGATTTCTTGTTATAAGGTCGCATGTCAGACCCCCAACTCTACCTGCCTGCCTCCGGAGTTCGCGAGTCTGTTTCCTTGTGTGCTGACGATGAGATTCCTTCTGGGACATGCTTGACCTTGCCTGACCCCGCGATTCATGTTTGCATCCGGAACTCTTTATTCCTTGAGCTACCTTCCGGAACGTTTCTGAACAGTCTTACTCTTTTGATCTCTTCCTTTTCCCCCAATGCCCAAAGTCTTGATCTTACATTCTTCAACCCGCTGATTGCCGCGCGTGGGGTGATTGAATACAAGGGAACGTGAAACAACAACAGCGCTTACCGTCTACGCCCGCGATCCGATCGACGACTAGCCCAGGGGGTCTGGTTGAGCCTTCTTATCAGGAACAGCAAAACAGCCCAAAAAAAAATTTTTGGCTTGGACCTAGTCGAAATGTTGAGAATGTTTTCCGACATGAATGGGCTTGGGGGTTCGCTTTTGCTGGTCATCGTGCTCATGGCTCTGGTCTTTGCCGCATCCAGATTCGACTTTGTAAGTGTTTCACTCTTGGGGTGGTCAAGTGGTGCAACACCACCACCACCACCACCACACCTTCGGATAGCAACGGTACTAATCGGCTTATATAGATCCTGACGTCAGGGAAGACCAAAGATGGTGACCTTGAAGGTGAAGATGATTCGACCTATGCTTTCTACGCCTCCAAGAGGAGGAGAGCTTCCAGTAAGTTGATGCCCACATGGTCGATGTACTGTCTATTCACGAATTCCAAAGGTGTGAAGCGAGTCACTTTCGATATCTAGCGACGAATGTACTTGTTGATTGGATCATCATTCACCGAATGTAGCATTTTGGACTTGTTCCTATTCCAGGATGCGATTTGGAAGATTTCCTTTATTGGCTCGAAGGAATAGGCGCATTACGGACGGCACCGGAGGAGTTTTTGTTTCAGGGCAGCTCATCGCTTGCTATCAATTCTCACACAACATCATAGCTTTGGGTTCATTCAGAATGCATATTTAGTAGCTACGAAGAGGCCAGACCTGCTTCAACAACATGCAAGATGAAAGAAGTTACTAACCCTAGCCGGTGCACAGCATCGCACGAGGTTGCGTGTATTCTTACCTACTTTCATCAACAGGCACCAAAGACTGGGAACTCTGCTTTGGTCGGGTTTGACATGGTCGTGCTTCTGAGGCCAACAGGTCATCATTCATCCAATATATCAGACGCAAAATGAAGCCTTGTGCATGTATCAATCTTCACTGGCATAACTGCTGGCTCAGAACAAGGTGAACCAACTCATTTGTGAACAGTTTTTACAACCACATGTATGCACAGACTTGGGCAATACACATGGATCAAACCCATGAGAATAATTGGATTTTAACAATGTTTAGAAAACTAAAACCGCAACTCAAAACTTTTACCGACTTTCCGGCTGTTGAAGCCTCCTAGTCATCGTGAACGAGGAGGTTGGGCTCTTGTTCACATTATTTGATAAACCTACTATCCGAACTTCTCGAAGCTGAGTAAAAGCCCTAACCACTGAATCTCGGGCTGCTACGTCGACACTTCAGCTATGCTGTTGCAATTTTGGTCTGAATCCTGTTGCCTTCGATAGTGTCGATACCTTTAGGATTAGCTCTCATATGAACCAGTGCATAGAAGTCCGTGTTCAACGCCTCGCAGTTCGAAAAGCCGTACAGCTTCCGGTGAGATTCGATGTCGAGATAGTTCTGACAATTATCACAGTCTCCGACGTGTCGCACGATCGATGCCAGTCGCCGTGATTTTGGGTCCTTCTCGGAGGTCTGGACCAGGGAAAATGCTGAGGAGACTCCCCAGTCTAGAATCAACAACATGATAGTCATAACCAAGATTGACGATGTTGGTGACGTCCTGGGGTTGTTAGCCACGTTTAATCCACGGACTCAGGCGGTGTCTTACATTTGATGTCATTGGCCGCGTTTCCCCCGGTGTAATCTCCTCTTTGGTGAAAGGATTCAGAGGGGTATCGATTGTGAGAGACTCCTCATCAGAATTCTTCATACCTTTGAGGCCGGGAATGATGTCTAATTGCTTGGACTTGTTATGAATATTTTGCCACGCCCAGAACATGCGATCTATGTAACAATGGTGGAGGTAGAAAACTGGGTCGAACGCCGCGGTATCATTCTCACCCATATCGCCGTTCGCGAATGCTTTAACGTTGACGTTCTTTTCTCCAGAGCCGGGAACGTCGAAACCGCCAATGGCCAAATGCATGGAGTTTTAAGGTTCCTCAAGGGAGACCAGGACAGACCTCAAACCACCCTTCACCTTCTTGAAATTTCAGTCCTGGGCCGATGTCGCATTCAAGAAGACAGTGTAGTTAGGGGCATCGAGGCATCGCTTGTAATTATCTGATGCTCCTTCGGGAATCATCGCGCCCTCATGGTTCTTAAGTGCCTTGGGATTGAGCCAACGTTTGACGTTGTCATTCAAGAGGTCAGCCGGGTGCCCGGGCGGCAGCTGGTTCACCTCAACATTGTGTTCCCTGGTTTTTTCCTTTCACTTGGGGCTGACGAGTCCTGAGTAGGGATATCGCACGGTGTCGTACCCTTGGGGCTTCGTATGGCCGTTGGGTTTGTCTGTTCCATCGTTTTTCAGATGATGTACGGCTTTCTGTAACTTGTAGGAGAAGAGAGGGTTCGGGTCAGATTTGCCATCTTTGAACTTGTAGTCCTTCTGAGTGAAAAGAAAAGGCAGGCCTTTCTCCAGTGACGTATCCGACATTTCGTTCCAGTAGGGAAGAGCAACATTACTACATCCCGGGGCACTCCGCAGAGCATTCTCGAGTCGCAAGAGGTAGGCCCAGTGCCACGTGGGAAACAACACATTCCCATGCTGACAGTACAGTGGTGCAGGAGGGCCATGATACGCGGCGATGGTGAAGTAGGAATTCTTGTCGTCTGGTTCTATGCTGATTATGTGCTGAAACGCCTTGACGAGCGTGTCACGCTCACCCTGACTGAGGGTATCAAGATCTTTCCTGATGCGAGGCTCGGACATGGTCTGTAGACAATGGGTGATGTTATGATGATGAGAACGGTATTCAGGATTTCAGGAAAATGAGGCAAGACAAGATTGGGTATTGAATCTCGGTCAATGGCGAAGAGGGGGATGATAATCTAAACACAGTCATGAGGGGGATCGCTGCCACTATTTATAGACCTTTACTGAGCGTAGACTCTATCAGTTTCTACGCCTCTCAATATGGATTTATTTACAGTCTACAGATCTCATCGGCTAAGGTGTGATCTCTCTCACATGACTCAATATTCGATTGTTCATACGTTCAAACTGGTCAATTGTGATCATGATGATCGGCACTTAGCAATGCGCCATTCTTTTGGCACATAGACCATCTACAACTTTGAGAAACGAAGTCAAAGCCAATCATCTGGGGATTCTCTAGTTCTCTCATGATGAAGGCTAGACCAACTGCATGTCTTGAATCTACATGGCATTAATGCAATGCAGGCCGTGCCACAGTGTGGGGGGTGAGGCTGGTTGAAAGCTGATCACGTCGTTTTCGAGGTAGTTGAACCCTCGAAAGAAATATCCACATATGGCAAAGAGCATCAGAGCAGCATCGTGACAGACAGCTGTAAGCACTGAAGTCGTCTTGGCCAACATCATGTTATTCGGAGGACTGGCTTTTCACGCAATCCCCCTAGAAAGTGCATGATGTATGAGACTGTTCTCACCCATTACGTCGGTGGCAGAAACGTAAGCCCATAAGAAACACATGTTCAAAGGTGCATGTAGTCGGTGAGGGCCATGTGCTTCTGGATGAGACAGGATGCGTCAAGTTGACTGTTGACGACTGCCCAGACTTCGCAATGGGACTTACGTACAATCAAACAAATATTTGCCGATGTATTTCACTTATAGTTGCTACGGACTCAGTTAAATTTGATCGACATGCGGGTCGATTGACTTTTAGTAAGTGTGATTGACACACATCCAGGGGTTCGGCCGGCCGATCAAGAACCACCCATGAAGTTGACACTAGAGCTGATCATTGCCCAAAAGACGGCCACAAGCAGCTGAGAGGGATTGACAACCGACAGTCTAGGTCGAAGTTCCTCTCATGTTAAGTGTTCGGGGAACTGACAATCTGGAGTCGGTTTGCGTAAGCTTCACATCGCTCTGAACCTTTTAGGTTGTTGACTTGTTCGCAACGAACATCTAAGGGTCCAATATTCCTCACTTTCATACAGCAAAAATTATATAAACGTGGATTGACTTGATAATCTGCTTTCGGTGCAAACTGGGTGTAAGTAGATGGTTATCATTTGGGGTAGTTGGATGTTAGGCTTCACAAGAGCTAAATTTCAGAGCACTGGTTCCTATCAACGTGAGAGTTTCAGTAGGAAACTTGATTTTGTGTGTTATGAGATATCGCTAACAACCGAGAGTTGACCTCATGTACATTTATGTGATGAGTAGACGACAAAGTACACTATCTTAGCGAACGGTAAGGTTGTCTTTATGACCTTGGAATACTACTTTAGCACGTTTACTTTGCCTCAATCGACGAGACTAATGTGGTTGGCTAGCTAAGCAAAGATTCCCAATTTGTAGTAGACTACCGTGGCCACTTTTGGACCTGAACCGCTAAGCTGAGGTGAGATTCCGAATATCAATATGGCCGCAGGATATGGAGTGCGTATTCAAATCTGCTTGCTCGGCTTCAATCGTTATCTGCATGCATTCAAGATACCAGTCAACCCATAAGTGGCTAATGGAAAATAATTATGTGTCATCTGACTGTTAGCGAGAGTTAGGTAGGTATGCTTGAGAACTGATTGCTGACACTGGCAGAAGGGGAAGGAGAAGACTTGGTGGGATGTCGTCAAAAGGAACTCAGTAGAAAATCATTCCACTTCGGAGTAGCCGACAACATCTTGGTGGATGATTTAGATCGTCAAAAGCCTTCAGTCTGAATCGTGCTGATGCAGTGCCTGTCCCTGCGGCTGTGGCTGTGGTGGTGCAGATCACCTTCGCCAGGCAACGCTGCCACGCTGTGCCACTGGATTCCCGTCACGCGTGTGGCTGTGAAATAGGATCACTAGGCAGACACAATATGGAGCAAAGTCTTAAGAAGCAAAGGCTTCCAGTGGTAAGAACACTGCAACAGAATCATCACGAACGTGAAAACGTGAAGACACCAAGTCCATCAATCTCAGCCGCGTATCACAAGAAAAATGCTCTCGCAACACATCAACATGAAGCCACTTCCCGATACGCCTGCAGACGAAGCTCCGCCGCCGTACGAAGAAAAACCCCGCACAAGTCCGGCACCACCACCACCCCAAGGGAGCCCAGGCCCAGGACCGTCGTCGGGGCCGCAGGTGGTAGCCCGCCAGTTCCCACCAGCCTTCAATGTCTACTCGCAGAGCTTCAGCAGGACAATGCTTCTCGGCGAGCACCAGAGCCAGCCGTTCTATGGCATGTCAATACACAGCGGGCTGAGCAGCTCGCCGCCCATTGTGCTGCACTCTGGGCCATCGGACAAGTTCTCGCCGCTCGCGTCAGTAGAGTACCATAGTTTCAGCAGCAGAATGAGCATAACGCTGCCAGCTGCGCCGATACGTACAGCAGGCGGTGGGCCCATTGTCGAATTAGAATCGAAAACCGACTTTCCATCGTTGAGCTACATTTTTGCTATTGGGGTTGGGCTAAACTGTGAAAGACTAGAGCAGTTTGAATGGAGGACAAGTTCTGGCGAAGCGATCGCTGCGCTGGATGGCCGGAGCAGAGGCTGGAAGCTCATCAGGCTTGCCCAATCAGTGCCCCAGAACGCCGGGCCAGGAGCCTTCAGGGGAGGTGATGGAAAGGAGGTAGTCGCTGTCTGGACGGATGCTGGAATGAGCATGACCAAGTTGGCTAAGTTTGCGTTCATGGGCAGTGGGTTGACGGGTGAGCTAGGCGAACGGTGGGCAATTATGGCCGTCATATCTGGGTTGGCCATCTTTGAGCGACAAAGGCAGCGAAGGCGCAACAATCACTGATCTCTACGGCTATGACTGAAGAGACGGAGTTGAAAGATCTATGGATGTGCTTACGATTGTTACGATGCCCCGGCACACCAGGGAACTGTTTCGTTTAGTTTAGTTTTGATACCCGTCGGCCTTGACAGGCGATAAGGCCTGTGTAGATACGGAGTAGATAAGATCTCTTTCAATGGTTCACTGATGAACAGCTTTCAAGCGTTGCTGCGGCCTACCGGGCGGCGTGGGATGAAAGGATGAAGTGCCGCGTTTGAAGTGATGCCACCTTGCTGAACAGTGAGCGCTTCTTTTGGCTGCGCCGCCAGGGGCTTTTCTGCGCGTGCATCATGTTGAGTGAAGCGACAACCTTGACTATGAACTTGGACAAGCCGAGTCAGGTGGTCGCTATTAGGAGAAACCGTCGCCAGAACATCTGTCTTTTACGACTCCATAGGGCAGTGATCAACTCGGCCGAGAAAGAAGACGATGATGGACCAACATAGCCAAGCCTGGTGTTCGTAGATTCGATCGATTCTCCACGAAGGCATCCCGGCGTCGCATCCATCACGAGTTTTCTTGCAGAGTGGGCTCGGTTACTGGGTACCTATTTCACTGCTGGGAAGAACAGTGAAGAAGGGATTTCCATAAGATCGGCGATGTTTGTGCGTGGTACGCAGGTACGCGCTCGTCGATCGTCTGAAAAGGGGGTGGGAAATCCTTGTTGGGTCTCTGTGTGGAACATTGGACCTTGAACGTCGAGTTACAACGGGGGTCCCAGCGGCCTGGCTGGCCCCTGTGGAGCAAGAAAGAAAGAAAAAAAAAGATGGTTGATGTGCGGTGAAGCGCGCTGACCGGGGTTGGGATAGATTGAAATGGGGAAGATGATAGGGATGGGGCGACAAGGCCGTCGCCGTGAGACCCGGGCGGTTGGCAGACGGATCACGGCACGGGGCTCCGAGCAGATCTTCTCGCTCTCGCAGCGCCAGTCAGCAAAAAGTAAGTTATCTGTCGAGGTGGTCAAGTGGTGGATGACAGAGACTGGAGTCCAAGGGGTGACGCCAACGCTCATGTTCTGCATTGATGGATACAGTGGCCTGCTCGTCGACGTCGTCATTAGCCTCGGGCCAAAGCCGCCAAAGCATATTGAGGTGGGCAGTGGGCACGGGAAGTCTATTGGCAAAAGCATATCGCGCATGCTGCTTATACTGTGTAGGGGGGCAGCGGGCATCTCCCTACTTTAAATCAATCTCGCATCGACAAAGTCCTTCGTAAGAGTTTCCGAGTTCTACAACAATGCCGCTGTCCTCTGGGCCACGAAGAGATACAAGTTCAAGCGCAATCTCAACTCGGACTTGAATTGGCAAGGCTGCCCAGCAGAGATGCTCAGAACGGTTGTTGCTCCCGAGTTCGGGCGCGCGCCGCCACATGGCCCCTCTTGGTCCATCGTTTGTTGGGTCTTCTTCCCGTGCTCATGTCCGAAAATTGACGGGAAAAAGAAGAAAAGAGAAGAGACGCAGGGCGGACCAGGTCAGACTCAAGATTTCTCAGTTGGCTCCTTGACGCTTGAGAGCCGCTGAAGCCCCGTTCAATCTCTTGATCAAGCCTGCCGCCTGTCGGTGTCCCGCAAGAAGAGCCCAGAAGAGCGAATAGCAGTCAAAAGCCTGGCCGGTTTAGCCTGCCGAGCGGCCTAGAAAGGTTGGCCAGGCCTGTAATAATGATGTTTGTGTCCGTTGCCCAGCCTGCAAGCTGCAAGAACAGGAGATCATGAGGAGTCGAAAAGACCAAGCCTGGAAGCGCTCAGGTCAGCAGCTGGCGGCGGCAAAGTCGTTGGCAGTGACAGGGCAGACTCTCTTCTGGGATGAAGCAGAGAGGATTGGTGGAAAAGGAGAGGAACCCCTTCAGGTTTCAACCACCAGGCCAGGGAATCGTCTGTGCCATGCGTTGCGCAGGGGGCAAAAGTGGTTTTTTTCACAGAATGATTCCTGTCCATGATGCGTGGGCTCGAAGGCTCGAAGAGTGGTAACCCCTGAGGTCCCGCCGCGGCGGCCAGGACGTTGAGCCTCTTTCGGGAAGTAGCGCGTAGAGTGTTAATTGAGGCCGCGGAGGCTGCAGGGCGAATCTGGTGATAATTAAGAAAAAGGGGATGGGTCTCAGGACTTGGCTGTTTCAGGG